AATTGAACAGAAGGTGCTGCATAAAATCTAAATATTTTATTTAAAATTTAAATTATGAAAAAATATAATAAAAGTTTCCAAACTATAAAATTACATTTATTTAATAGTAATTACATTTAGAATAAAAATAATATTCAACGAGATTTTTTGTCCATAAAAATGACTTATTTGGGAAACCCATATGACTCTGCCCGCTAATATAGTTAAATCTAAGTAACAATTTAGATAATTGAATACATTATAATCTATAGAATCAGTTGCAAGAGAAAAAAGTATGATAAAATTGATCACTACTTATTAAACAAGTTTAGGACAAATCGTAATAATAAGAAATCAAAAAAGCCATTATTTATATTTCTTATTTCCATTTTTACAAAAATTATCAATAGAAGCAATTTTTATAGAGAATGCGAGGTAGTATGTCTGTTAACGAATTATCAGTGTGATTATAATATAATATAATACAAACCGAAAAATATATAAAAAATGTAAGTCAGTTATAATAATGATGATCAAGTTGTTGAGAGTAATATTCATAATCGGCGTTCAAAACAGCCATATAACTAAATATAATGGTGAAAAAATTTTGTTTTTTTTTTAAGTCAAAACCGGGATGGCAATTTTTAGTTATGCTAGACCCTTTAAAGTAACAAATGCTGACAATAAAAGAAAGTTTTTTTTATATGAATCAATATTTTTAAATCGTAATTGCAGATTTTTAGTAAGAACTTTATTATTTTATTATATGTAAAACTTTTTATCTATGATTATTTTTTACATTTTTCGATCTATATATTTCTCTTGCTTTTGAGCCTTGTATAAAATTCCATTCAATGTTCTTCATATTATTAAAAAAAATACCACTTGTGCGTTTGTTTTCAAAACTTTTGTTGATTCATCATCTAATTTAAAAAAAAACGAGACAATCCGAAACAAATATTGCTTTTAGAAAAACCCGGGACACAAAATAGAAATCCCGGCCAAACCGGGACGTATGTTCACGTTACTTATGAGGACATGGAATAAATACCTAGTTAAAGAATTCTATTCAATATATAACAATAAATATATAATATATAATAATAAAATATATAAAAAGTAACCGAAGGTTATCTAAAATTTCGAAGATCAAATTTCCTTTCAGTAGCCAAAAAGTAACTTCCTTAGTGAATATAACAGTAACAACAATAGTCTTACGAATATGCTTTTCTACACTTCCTACGCGTCAACGGAAATTACTTAGACTTGAATTGGTAGTTCATATAAACTGATTCACCATTTTTTTCTACCAGAGTTCTTGAAAACGTCCATTTCTGCGTTGGAAAATGTTTTTATATTTCGATGCATCAGAGTAATTTTTAATAATTAGTACAAAAATTTTACTGTTCAGTGTATTTAATACACAGTCGATTACTGCCAGTTACGTATACAGACAGCTTATTTTATGCATCAATAAGGTATGCGATTATGAACGGCGAGTATGATTTGACAAAAAACGAACAGGCCAACTGACGTACGTCTGTAACTATCTGTTGAAAACATCTAGAAAATTATTGGCAACGATTCCCGGCATTCGTATAATAGAGACACTAGAGCCGAGATCTGGTAAGTAAAACGAAAGATTCCTGCATCGTAACATTTCCATAACTAGTAAATGATCCTCCTAATAATTGGACGATAATAGATGTTCGATGCGACGACGACGGACTTGGGATTGATACGTACGAGCCGTCGATGCTCTAAATTAATACTGCATATTATTTGCAGAAGTGCTCAACTATTATTGAAGAGAAATTCTGTGATCTTCTTATACCTCATATACAAGAATGTTGGTGAAATAATAAAATTCCAATTATTACCACCGTTATATCAAAACAAGCAAGCTTTTAATTTTTTTATAACAATATTTGAAAGTAGAGGGCAAAAAATATATTATCAGTTATTACTTCGACAGAGATAAAAGTCAATGTTAGAAAAAAAAATTTTTTTTGTTTGTAGTTTTTTGGTTGTGAGCGGTGTTGTTTAGTTTACGAGATCTTCGTATAACATATGTTATTTAAATTATATTAAAAAACATTTACACAATGCAATTTTACACTTCTATAAATTATTGAAATAGTTACACCAACTCTGTTGTTAAATATTTCTGACAACCAGACAAAAAGGATATACAATATTACCCCAGTAGAATATGTACCATATTTTCATTCGTTGAATAATGTAGCTATTATTTCGTAAAATGTCTTGAAAATTGAAATAAGATATTGAACCTGTTTGCCCTTTGCGGTCCTATTTTACTGCGGCTAAAATAGACCAGGTGACCAGTTTTCGAAAAACAAAAAAAAGCGCAATTCTACTATGTTTCCAGGGAATTTTACTGAACATAGAGTTTGGTTTTCACAATGTAAATACTCAAAGTCAAATTGGACCTTTGTGCCCCGTTCTATCATATACATGAAATTTATAATAAGAAACGATATCATAAAAGTGCACATAGGTTTGATGTTATCTGCTTGAAACAAATTGCTGGAGCTACACAAATTCCATATTTAAAAAGATTGAAAGTTGAATTTTTTGGTAACTTTGAAAAAGTATTATATAATTAAAAAATATAAAGTTAATTGAAATTTTGTGAAAATATTGGTAAATGCTGAACTAAATTTTAAACGTTTTTTAAGAACTTGATATGATTGATCTTAATACGGCTTCTAAAGCTAAAAACAAACACTTAGCATATACAAATTTTATGTGTTTTATAAAAATTTAAATAATATTCATACATGTTTTTTTTATTTCTATACGTAACGTTTAGCAGGCACATTGAAAGCTTCATTTAGTTCTTACTAAGCACGTTAAATATTTGTGATAAACTTTCGGTTTATATTATAAAATAAATATTATGAAAAATTTATGATTAATATATGATTATGAACCAATAATGGTTATGAAAAATTTGCCTTTATATAACCTATTCACATCAAATTTTTAGATTTCTAACAAAAATTGCGGATTTTCTGAGTATACATTAAAACTGAATACTGAGTTCGGCACCAGCATATAAAAATTTCATCATATAATTCGTCAATAATATCACAATGAAAGATTTTTTCACTATTTTCATTAAAATAGTAATTCTTCCAATTTTAAAATAGTTTTAGTAGACAAAACTATAAAAATACAAAACTTACGAAAATAAAATGATTATGATGAACAGTTTGATATAACTGAACCATTTGAAATGGGTATTTTAATTTTTTTTCTAATTTTTGACGACTTGAAATATTATTTTGATTAATAATTTTGCCAATTTAATATTGATTTATAAGAGGTCAAGTTCCACAAAGAAATCCTCATGGTATTCGATCCATTCAATACTACTCTTTTCATCCACTTGTAAAAGATTTGTTTAAGTATTTGAACAACTGAATCCTCACATTCATATTTAATTGATTTGATATTTCAATAACCAATACCAGATGTAAATGCTTATTAAATTCAGGGGTGAGAGCACCTCGGCTCTCTGCCTATTACATGTAATTCCTTGGGAAGACGATTGCTGGCCTCCGGGGTAATTGCACTCCGGCTTCAGTAACATCTAATCCGCAGGCAAAATCCATTCACAATCATTTCAGTGATAAAGCCGTCATGATTTTTTTATACACCTGACCGATATATATATATACAAGTAACTTGTCTTGAAGCATGAATTGAAAATGTAATGATATTCTTAGATTAGGCCTGCCATCAATATCAATAGCAAATTTGTACTTTGCTTAGAGTATGCATATTTTGTAAGATGACCAATTTATTTCCAACATCTTTCATAAGAAATCTGCTATTTTAGTAACGCAATATAAGAAGGATTGAATTAAATAATGAAGTAAATTAATCGTTTTGGTTTGTCCAAATGACTGTCCATAGCGCACCAGTATTGTTCATATCATTTTTTCAGCATCTTAAAATACGTCATGCACTATTTGTAATCCAGGTTTATTTTGACAATATCCACGCCACTATATACGTATTTGTTATTCTTCCCAAGAGTGTCATATCAAATAAGTTTCACTATGTATTTTATATAACATTAATGACCACTTTATATAAGCAGTGAAAAAAATCGATTTAATTTTTGAATACTAGTAATAAGATTTTTACTATATAAAGTAGTCTCTTTATAGACATAAAGTAGTCTCTTTATAGATAAAAAGTAGTCTCTAAGATGTTTACTTTATTATATAGCTTCCTAAACTATTATCGTTTGTAAAACTTGATTGGACCATTGTTGAAATTATCTCCAGCAATATAGCTGCAATATAGTCAATCCCTATATTGACTATGTTGACTCTGCACTGACAATCTATTGGTTAAAATGCTTTTACAGTTTATTAACTCTAATTATAAAGTAAAAAGAGCTCATAATTATAAGTAACGCCTGTACAACCATGTTTTTTTATTGCTATTTTATAAATTTAAATTTTGACGGTTTTAAATGAGTATAACTTTCAACCTTGTGCAAGAATTTTGAGCATGACTCGTGGTCAAATAGACTTTAATATGATGAACTTGATGATAAACATTGTATTTAATGTTTGAATGCTTTTTTTCAGCTCTTTTTCAGAAGCGAAATTCGTGCAGCTACTATGATGTATATAAAATTACTATCCTTTTAATATTAATTATAATTGCTTGTGTAATTATGAATTAATTATGAATTAATATTAATTATGATTAAGCTTGACAAGAGCCTGAAATAATATCTATTATTATTGATTACGGCTTGCTTATGAATGAATAAATAAATAAATAAATAAATAAATAAATAAAGGTATAAAATATTAATAATATTATAAGTATATTAAGCCTTTTTTTGGTTTTTCAAAAAATTTACAGTGGTGTAACCCCTTAAGTGTGAATCGGCGTTTTAATTCACGCCTTTGAAATTTGTGCACATCTTTATTTACATATCAAAATATATTTGGTTAATATTTTGTTCTATAGTCAATTTCATTAGTGAAACTGCAAACTTAGAGACTGGTATTAGCGATTGTATCCCGTATCGCACTGATTCTAAAGCCGAGGTTTACCGCCGGTCGTCAGTTTGGCCGCGATTCAATCCGCGGTTTTGCAGACTCTACGTGTGGGTTGATCTAATGGGTTGATCGTGCACATCTATTTGTCATCATTCGGCTGGTTAGTTTGTCGGCAATGTCGCTCTGTGTTTATTAAATGAGTCTCATTTAGCATAATCTGTATAATGAGCAATTCTATCGATAACATAACTATATATCAACGTTAATTGGTAATACTACAGGCTTACGGTTAATGGAAATTGTTTTATGTACGCACGAGAGTCGAGCTTTAGCAGAATATATATAGTAATACAAAATATCGTCAGTAAAAATATTAAACATATATATATATATATATATATATATATATATATATATATATACAGTGTCCCAGACCTTGACGTCAAGCCGAAACAGGGATATTGTGGTTAATTTTTATTAAGTTTGTTTATTTAAAGTTTTAAATCGTAACCGTGAATAACATTTTTATTACCACAGTAAGAAAGTACAATTACTCCAAGTTTTCGAGAATTAAGACTGAGTTTAAATGTTTATATATATATATTTTTTTTTAATTTACAATTTTTAAAATCATGTAACTTTGAGAGGAAATAAAAACCTAAAAGTGCCATAATTTTTGCTACTACATTTCGCTTACATACGGCTCATAAGTATCAAATACAAAAAATATTCTAAGTAAAATTTACTAAACAAAGTGCCACCGTCTAACTCCAAAATACTTTTGTTTCATTTGAACATTTGTATGACAATTGTAATTTGTAAAGCAACGAATCGCTGCCGGTCGCTGGCTCTAAACTATTGATGTAAAGGCTTTCAGTAAAAAAAAAACCTGCAACATATCTAAGATTGTCGGAAGCTGGAAAATTCAGTTATCAATGACCAAACTAGTAATCTGACGCTTACATTGGAATGACATTAAGTTGTATAGATTGATAGATTGAAAGTAAATTAGAAATATGTGATATAAAATGTGGAAGTGTTGATATACATATTTCTTATTAATGTAAGTTTAATACATGAATATGGATATAAATAAGGACGCGTATACTAAATTACCTCTTTTCTAAAATTACACCTAAGTCTGTTTTTACACGGTCTTTTTGTACACGGTTTTGATATAACACGGTTTGAAAATTGAATATTTTTAATTTTTTTACACGAATTTATTCCATTTAGCACGATTTGAAATTTTATGTACCTAAATTTTTTTGTCAAATTAAATTTTTGCCAAGTATGTTCATATCACAAAAAAGTATTTATGAAAGAAAAAAGTCTGAAACCATCGATAGTATCGATAGTTTGCGAACACTAGCTTAAAGATTTAAGTGAATTCCCCTTTAGCGCGTACAAACAATTTTTACTGGTCAAAGCAAATGTGAATAGAACTAATTTAATTCTTGTTCTTAAAAATTGTTGTTTTTCACTAATTTTAATAGGTTTTAGAGATTAGGAACAAATCACCCATTTTTGTATAAGATCAATGTCTTTTTTTACACGTTTTTTTTTACACGGCTTCTTCTGGAACCAATCTCCGTGTAAAAACAGACTTAGGTGTATACATTTCTTATTGTTTTTATGTATTACTTTGTGTATTGTTTGAAATGTCAACAATAGGTAAAATTTAACTGAAAAGTTTTTCGTTTTTTTTTTATCCAGAATTTATTTAAAAACTTTAAACGCGTTTTTCTCGAAACACGATTTTTCAACGAGGCACGCAAAATAACTACAACAATTTGAATTTTTTATTCGATTTGTTTACATATATTTAAAATTACATATTTAAGTGTATCGTCAACTTTTGCAATGACATTATTACTTTTCCTTCCACCCGAAAAAAAACAGCAAATATATACGTTTTTTTCGGCTGCTACAGTGGTGAACTCCCATTAAAGAGCCGATTAGAATTTAGCTAAATCGTAGACGTTTTTTACTGAATTTCAATTTGGAATTTTTAAGTTAATGAAAAAGCTTAATTAAAGAAAAACATACTGTAGAGTTATAAAGTAAATATAAATATAAAATAGGGTATAAATATAGGGTAGAGCAGGACCTAAAGGTGCGCGGGTAAAAATGTCCACTTTAGGTATACTTAGATTCAACAGATTTTTTTATGTAAGCTCTATAAAAGCTTACATGGGTTTGTGGTAAAAAGTACCAACTAAAACCTTAGCACTGACAGAAGTGTAAAAAATAAGATAGTAGTAAATAAAAAAGTATAATGAATTAGAATTTTACAGGAATTAAATTGATAGTAATTCCAAATCTGCTGATGAATATTTAAAAATAAATTTTGTAAATATGTGCACATAAAATTTGTATTTAGCATTGATTAAATATTACTATTTTTATTTCAAAATGTCCCTTATAATTAAAATTGAGACAATGGATGTGTTTGCCCACTATAGATATGAGAAATTATATTTTTTAGAAAACAATAGCAAATAAAGATATTTCTATATTTAGACAATGACTGGGAACTTTTCTGAAGATATATATAGATGCTGAATGGAATATTTCTCTTGATGATGCATCTGATACAGCTTAACAATCAACCACAAAACATACGTCCGCTCTTTTCCATTTAAATAACTATATGTAAATAATTAAAGCTATATAATAACTTTGCAACCTAAATTATTGTAACTCCATTGAATACATTAAATTAATCAAATAATATATTTCAGTTGAACGTGGAAGCATAATAAGAGTAACTTTATATTTAGAAAAAAAGGACTATCTTAAAACTGAAGTTTTTTTTTAATTTATATATATATATATATATATATACATTATTTTCATATCTCAAGTTTAATATATAATTTTAATAACATGTTCTTCAATTATTATAGTACAAAAAATCTGCAAACGCATCCTTATCTTTAAAAAACTATTCACGCTACATGTAACAAAAAACTACTATATTATAAAATAACATAATGTAAGCACAAATAATAAAAATCATTTTCAGAAGGTCAAGCTTATAATTAACTCTGCAAAATCCTCTCGTCAGAAAATGCTCGTTTATATCGAAAAGTACTTAATGTATTGAATTGTTTAATTTAAATTACCGTGCTAGTGTATTTATTCTTATTAAGTGGTATCTTTAGAAGTGCACAATGTTGCAAATACTTAGTTAAATAATTTTAGTATTTTATTTTAGCTCACGTTCATTCCGTAATGCGATTTAAACAATTAAACGTAAGAAAGAACTACAAAATGCAGTTTTTATGATTCGTAAATCACGATATTTATTAAAATGCGCTTGCGAATCTTTATACTGCGAAATCCCTAACAACATTGTATTACGTGCGCAAGGATAAAGTTTTATGTGTCTACAAGAAATGTGCACTAGAAACATACAAACACATCTTATATGTATACCTATATACGATTGAATTAAGTTCTGAATTATCGAATTACATATAATTTTGTGTATTTGTTTAGTGATAATCGTAGTAAAGAAAATACGGACAAAATGGTATATACTGATAAAATGACACAGTGGCCTTATTTGGAAATTAGCTGGTTTAATTAATGTTTCCGCGACTGTATAGCACAAAGATAGCCATAATAACAATCCTGTCAGATGTTGAGCGTCATTGTCACAGCCTTGTCGCACTAATCTATCCAAGCGTGTTTCGTGAAAAATTTATTTTAAGAGTGTTTTTCTCGTGTTTTTTTGGAGACCAATTTATTGATATTTGTAATTATTTCTACTAAAAATAATTAACCTATATCAGAACTAGTGATTTTGATCAACTTTATTGCAATAATGAGGCTTTTGGTGGAATTTAAATGGAGTTTTACTAAAGTCTTGCAAATAAAACAAATTATTTTCAAACATATATTTTAAACAGATGTATTAGTATTAAATTATAATTGACAGTTTTATATATAATTCATATAGTATAATGATTTCAAATATATGTTAGATTTGGTCTTGATTTACATTCAAAAATAAGAATTTTTCTACTTTCGTGCTTTTCAGTCTCGATCTTCTGTCGTTTAATATTATCCTTGCCTTAAAGAACATTCGTTCACATGGAACCGAAGTGGCTACAATATTGCAGTATCTTTTAAATACCTTTGGTAAATTTGGATATGCATGCTTATGTTTGCTCCACCATTCCATTGGTCAGTTGAATATACCATCTGCTGATTTCATTGGTAGTACATTATCAGCAAAATACATGTCAATCTCTTTGATGGCTATACCCATAGGAGTCGATTGAAGTGATGACGTTCCTACCAAACTGCTTAGAATAAACCATGGGTTATACTCATCGGTGTACTCAATTGATGGTTCTGGTAAAACCTCATACTCAGCAATTATTGTTTTTTCGATGATATTTACCACAATTTGCTGTAGGTGTCCCTTAATAAAGTTTGCATTTTCTATATTAGAAAATCCCTGTAAATTAATTCTTGGATCCATTAATGTAAATATTCCAAATGTTTCACTCCTCTCAACATTTGAAAAGCTATCATTAATGCTTGATTTAAGTATTTCGGTTATTTTTCTAATAATAGACAGCAAGTCATTTCTAAGCAAGATTTTTGAGCAAGACTCATTCAAGCATCTTGTTAGAACGATCACTAAGCTTCCCGTTAAATAGTTCTCACCACTTGTAGAATTAGTTATATTTTAAAATGATTTCAATATTAAGCATAATTGTTCTAACATTTTCCACATTTCTGGTGTTACTGGTGCTGAGTTTGTTTCTAATATACTCATGGTCATTTTAATTGCATCTTCTAGTTCCACAAATCGTTGAGCCATATAAAAAGTTGAATTCCATCATGTATCAATGACTTGGAGTAATTTTTTGGTTTGTCCGTATATTTGTAGTTGATTCTTCTGAAGCTTTTCAGAAGCAGTAACACTTCTTCTAAAGTAACTTACTATTTTTTTTAACAACATCAATTTCACTTTTAATTAATTTTAGTCCATCGTTCACTATTAACTTTATTGTGTGTGCATAACACCCGTGATGCTTTATTTCCAAAATATTTTTAATTGCCTTTTTCATATTGTAAGAATTATCGCTTATGGCAAAATTAACTTTTTGTTGCAAATTCCACTCAGTGAGCAGTCTTTGTATCTCTTTTGCTATATTCTCAGA